TTGCGTTGACATGGTAATAGCACATTGTTCCATCGCACATCTGTGCCAGGCTCTACGTTTATAATGACTGACTGACAGATTCGAAAAATTGTATATTACGAAATATTAATGTTATGAACGGGGAATTAAGAAGCCAGACAATTACGGAAGCTATTTTCTTGGGACGGTATTGCATTTCATTCAAAACCTGTAAAACACTTATATTTATTTTTGTCCCTATCTTATTCTACATAACACGAGCTTTCGTTCTATGCATCATTCACTAGCATACCCTTTTTTGTTCCAAAAATATTGTAATTTAAACATTATATTTCAAACATACTTTCTTTATATACCAATCAAGCACACCACATCGTACCATAAAATAGAAAACAACATTTTGTACAATATTTAACAAGTGAACAGATATCGACCAATAGGCAATGTCCATTTAAAGTCCAAGGACACCATTGGACTTAACATGATAATTATTGGTTTATTCCTCTGCATCCACAACACCTCCCCTTTTTTTTGAAGATCCGGAGTTGATATCCGGATTTTGAAATTTTCTGGTTCATCCTCCCCCACGAAATAATGTTGGGTCCTCATATCCCCAAGTTAAAATTAATTTGACTTTATTTAACACATAATTGTCACATGGAACAGAGAAGTCACTAAAAGTGAATAAGTAGTGTGGACCAACGTCGCTTGATATGAGGTCATCAACGCTCGATTCTTCTGGAACATTATCATAGAATTCCTTGAAAATCTCATTTGTGAATAATTGATCACTGGGATAATTAACATCTATCAAAATTATATTAAAATTCTGATCATCGTTTGGTGCATTTAACACATTTTCTGGTACAACAGGATCTAGATAATAAGATTCATCAGAATCTCCTGTTGTTGACTGATGAGGAACGTTTGGAGCAGCCAGACTCAGTATACTGCACGATTTGTTTCCTGTTTCCTTGTGAGAGGGTACTGTAATTAATTTATGAGCATTTAATAAGAGATCTTCTTCCTGTGAGCTGGGCACATCACTGTCTGTACACGTTTCAGGAACAGTGGGATTTGAACCCACGACAGGGAATGTTTCGGAATTTGACATTTCTGGACAACTGGGTGGATCATGAATAACTTTCTCGTTTACATCACCGATCGTCCGGGATTCACAGAGGCTTTTATAGGCAGCTTCATATGTTCTGCAGTTGTTTTCCAGATCATTCTGCAGATTAGAAATGAACTTATCAACTTCTGTTGCATTTCCGAAACATGGAAAATTTACCAACAGTGTGCGTAAATTTCCTAAAAAATTCAACTGGCTATTTTTGAAGCACTGCTGTTGTTGCTCAAGTAGAAGCTGTAATTGATCGGAACAGGTAGTCATTTTTTTTTCAGCACCAGCAATGAAAATTAACTGTAGGAATAATGACCAATGTTGCTCAAGGACGCTGGTGACAATCTGGATGCTGATTGGTCGAAACAATTAGCCTGAATCGCATCCAATTACAAGGTTCAAAATTTTTCTCCACCCCGTCGCCAATTGTTATGACTGTGAAAAATTATTTGCTGCGTATTAAGGGGGGCGAATTATTGATCGGACCAAAAACGCACAAACACGTAGAACGACCTAGGGTTCTGATTGATCCTGCTTCCCTGTCTAGCCCAGTTAGGTTCAATGTTTATTGTAATGTAAGTAACATCAAAAATCGACTTCATTGTGATTGTATAATAACTAATTTTTTTAATTATCCATCATGCATCTAAACACTGTGAATAATCGAAAGAGAAGTTATATATTATAAATTATACACCATTTACAAATAATTCCTTTAAAAAAATAAACAAATGAGTTCACCAGATTGCCCCCAAATTCCCTATATATATATAGTATTAGTCCATTAATAGTTCTCGGAAGTTACTCATAATTTAATGTTCACTAGGATATAACACTTGCTTTTCCTATCTTTCTCTTAACAAGTGTTTGGATTTAATTGTATCTATATTCAGAAATAATTTCGTTTTTTTAAGTACAATACCTATAATTATTTAAGGAAGTTTATCTAGGAGATAATACTCGAAAAACAATTATATGAAAAGCCATCAACATCCTGTGATACGTATGCTTGACAAAGTCATGTTACTTGGAAGATTAACATCAGTTCATGTATTTCTCACTAACTACTGATCTAGGTCATCTTGGTATGTTCATTCTAGCTGGTTAGGTAGGTCTGCTCAATAACCACCATCAGTGGTTGAAGACTGGGCGACATCGCTCAGAATCATCCACATTATCACAGATACACTCTCACTTTATCTTTTCTTTTATTTGGAAATCCAGTTTTCCTTCTTATTATACCTTTTCATTGTTTTTTCGAACTATATTCTCAATACTGGACTTTTATCTTGATTATTACCAATACATTATTTCGATCTGTTTTCCTATTCATTGCTATTTTTATGTTGTTGCGTTGACATGGTAATAGCACATTGTTCCATCGCACATCTGTGCCAGGCTCTACGTTTATAATGACTGACTGACAGATTCGAAAAATTGTATATTACGAAATATTAATGTTATGAACGGGGAATTAAGAAGCCAGACAATTACGGAAGCTATTTTCTTGGGACGGTATTGCATTTCATTCAAAACCTGTAAAACACTTATATTTATTTTTGTCCCTATCTTATTCTACATAACACGAGCTTTCGTTCTATGCATCATTCACTAGCATACCCTTTTTTGTTCCAAAAATATTGTAATTTAAACATTATATTTCAAACATACTTTCTTTATATACCAATCAAGCACACCACATCGTACCATAAAATAGAAAACAACATTTTGTACAATATTTAACAAGTGAACAGATATCGACCAATAGGCAATGTCCATTTAAAGTCCAAGGACACCATTGGACTTAACATGATAATTATTGGTTTATTCCTCTGCATCCACAACACCTCCCCTTTTTTTTGAAGATCCGGAGTTGATATCCGGATTTTGAAATTTTCTGGTTCATCCTCCCCCACGAAATAATGTTGGGTCCTCATATCCCCAAGTTAAAATTAATTTGACTTTATTTAACACATAATTGTCACATGGAACAGAGAAGTCACTAAAAGTGAATAAGTAGTGTGGACCAACGTCGCTTGATATGAGGTCATCAACGCTCGATTCTTCTGGAACATTATCATAGAATTCCTTGAAAATCTCATTTGTGAATAATTGATCACTGGGATAATTAACATCTATCAAAATTATATTAAAATTCTGATCATCGTTTGGTGCATTTAACACATTTTCTAGTACAACAGGATCTAGATAATAAGATTCATCAGAATCTCCTGTTGTTGACTGATGAGGAACGTTTGGATTTGAACCCACGACAGGGAATGTTTCGGAATTTGACATTTCTGGACAACTGGGTGGATCATGAATAACTTTCTCGTTTACATCACCGATCGTCCGGGATTCACAGAGGCTTTTATAGGCAGCTTCATATGTTCTGCAGTTGTTTTCCAGATCATTCTGCAGATTAGAAATGAACTTATCAACTTCTGTTGCATTTCCGAAACATGGAAAATTTACCAACAGTGTGCGTAAATTTCCTAAAAAATTCAACTGGCTATTTTTGAAGCACTGCTGTTGTTGCTCAAGTAGAAGCTGTAATTGATCGGAACAGGTAGTCATTTTTTTTTCAGCACCAGCAATGAAAATTAACTGTAGGAATAATGACCAATGTTGCTCAAGGACGCTGGTGACAATCTGGATGCTGATTGGTCGAAACAATTAGCCTGAATCGCATCCAATTACAAGGTTCAAAATTTTTCTCCACCCCGTCGCCAATTGTTATGACTGTGAAAAATTATTTGCTGCGTATTAAGGGGGGCGAATTATTGATCGGACCAAAAACGCACAAACACGTAGAACGACCTAGGGTTCTGATTGATCCTGCTTCCCTGTCTAGCCCAGTTAGGTTCAATGTTTATTGTAATGTAAGTAACATCAAAAATCGACTTCATTGTGATTGTATAATAACTAATTTTTTTAATTATCCATCATGCATCTAAACACTGTGAATAATCGAAAGAGAAGTTATATATTATAAATTATACACCATTTACAAATAATTCCTTTAAAAAAATAAACAAATGAGTTCACCAGATTGCCCCCAAATTCCCTATATATATATAGTATTAGTCCATTAATAGTTCTCGGAAGTTACTCATAATTTAATGTTCACTAGGATATAACACTTGCTTTTCCTATCTTTCTCTTAACAAGTGTTTGGATTTAATTGTATCTATATTCAGAAATAATTTCGTTTTTTTAAGTACAATACCTATAATTATTTAAGGAAGTTTATCTAGGAGATAATACTCGAAAAACAATTATATGAAAAGCCATCAACATCCTGTGATACGTATGCTTGACAAAGTCATGTTACTTGGAAGATTAACATCAGTTCATGTATTTCTCACTAACTACTGATCTAGGTCATCTTGGTATGTTCATTCTAGCTGGTTAGGTAGGTCTGCTCAATAACCACCATCAGTGGTTGAAGACTGGGCGACATCGCTCAGAATCATCCACATTATCACAGATACACTCTCACTTTATCTTTTCTTTTATTTGGAAATCCAGTTTTCCTTCTTATTATACCTTTTCATTGTTTTTTCGAACTATATTCTCAATACTGGACTTTTATCTTGATTATTACCAATACATTATTTCGATCTGTTTTCCTATTCATTGCTATTTTTATGTTGTTGCGTTGACATGGTAATAGCACATTGTTCCATCGCACATCTGTGCCAGGCTCTACGTTTATAATGACTGACTGACAGATTCGAAAAATTGTATATTACGAAATATTAATTATTACTAAAACTGCTGATTATCTGAAGAATTTAGTCGTTGACATATGAACTGTGATAACTAATATTTCAATATTTACGTAGTTACACTGTAGGAAGTAATTTGTGTAATGGACATTATTTTATTTTAATAGATGGAACGACTCTTAGAAGCATATCCGTGGATTCATGAAGAAAAACAAAATTTTGGTGTTGAAAATGGCCCATATTGTTTTACTTCACGTGATCCCATTGAAACACGTCGACGAATTCATTCGCTGAAAGAACGTCGTGATCGTCTTGGTCGAACTGTAAATATGCGTGCGATGAATATGCTTGGTAATGCTGTAAAACAATATTCTGAATTGATTAGACGTCAAGAATTTGTTTTAGCTGATAAACGTAAAATTCAAGCAGTTATTGACGATTTAGATGAACGAAAAGAAGAAGTCTTAATAAGTGCACATAATAAAGTCAATGAGGTTAGTGTGATTTTCATGTTATGCTATTGCAATTCAATTTTATAGGTTTTTCCCCTAAGTACAAAATGTTTCTTCGGAACCAGTCTGCGTCTTCACTTGAACTAATGCTAGACAGTAAAACAGTTGAGTGTGTCGACCATTTCACTTATCTTGGGAGTCTTATCAGCCCTGATGGGTTGGTTTTTGACGGAATTTCGGCATGGATTCCGAAGGTTCTGTCGGCTTTGCCAACGTACGCCACTTGTGGCATAGGTGAGGTATCTACCAATTAGAGAATGAGTTCACCCCGTCCTACTTTATGGCTGTGAAGAATAGCCTTTGATCGTAGATATCTTCAATGGATTACTCTTATATGTTGGGATAATCGAGTTAGGAATTCTGAGGTTAGACTCACAGTACTAGGTAACGATGGCGAACCGAATGATAAGATACTGAGTATTTATCGACTGACATGGATAAGACTTGTATTACGTGTATCCAACAACCGCCTACCTTGGTGCTCGATAAACGCTGATGTCGGAGTTAGTTCGAAGAAAGATAGGGATGGCCAAATAAAGAAATGGTACCAGTCCATGAAGACACGAACTGTTAACCTGAGCCACGTAGGCAGGTAGAGACTATATAAGTGTGATTATGGTAAACAGTGGTCAGAATTTGAGTAAAATGTTTCAATATTATTTTCAACAACCCTGGTTCATTCACTCTTTACCGTCTCATGGATCCTAATATTCTAAACACCTCGCAATTTTTAAAAATCCTTATTACACTAGTTTATATTTTATTCTCGAATTGTATCTTCGAGTTCTAATCTTTTTTATAACCACTTATAACGTTGCCATCTCTACCACTCAGTGATCTACCCTGAAAGTTTTATTTCATTGTGCTGAATGGGTGTGACAACCTGAACCGATGTACATACGCACCAGGTTCTACGTTGGACATGGCTGATTGAATGACTGAATTTTGTGAATATAATGTGCATACTAAATTATATTTGATAAATGTATAATATATTTGATTAATATTAATTTAACGTGATAGTTTGTTGTAAACTAAGTCATATGTAGAGACTTTTATAATAATTGTCGCACTATTTTTAGATTGGCCGGATTAATCCACATAAACTCGATTAAAGTAAAAAGACTGTTCTAACTTCTCGAAATATTGATATACAAATATGTATAAATATTAACTGATCATATATCAAGTAATATTTAGCTTAGATTAAAGGTGACTCACATCCAAATTGATAAAGACCTCGACAGCAGTCGGCTGTCAGCATTGATAAACACAAAAATGATCAGTTCAATGTAGCTAGACAGATGAATAGAAGTATCAGTTAATTTACGATCAACCAATGAAATGGAAGAACGAAATTATATGATAGAAACCGGTTATACATAAATAATGCCGCTATACTACACAAATCCCACAATTATTATATTGAGGTTTATTAAAACTGGTTTATTTTACACGTGTCATGCTATTAAACGCTGGTAGATTGTTGTTTAACTTATGAAGTTACTTGTGTTATCAATATAGAAGGATTGTTAAATGTTTGTTGTAATTAGCTTCTGGCTAATTTGAAATGACATACCTTTGATGCATTAGCTCCATGATTATTTAAGCATTGTAATCACGGTTAGTCAGAAGTGAACTGAGCTAGTAATTATAGTAAGAGAGTTATACGCAAAATCCATCGGACTGATCTTGACTGCTGATAACTTGAAATTTTAAGAAAGGACAGAAATCCTCTGGAGATAGCTATGCATTATTTGATTCTTAGATGAATCTCGGTAAGAGAAAACAAGTAAGGTTGTTGATACAGACGTAGATGTAGGACTTGTATATTTGCCTTCTACCAGGTTTTGGTGCACAAAAGTGTTTAGGGAAATCCGATTGTAATCATATTCCTCGGCTTGAGGGTTACTATCAGTGAGATTATAATTTATGAACGAACCGATGAAGTTAAAGGTAGTAAGTCCTGGATTTTGGCGCGAAATCCATTTACCTATGTAATGAAATAGCATTATAGCTAGTGTCAGTCCATGATGAAAACTTTTACCTTTATTCCTAACCTTAACTTCCAACTCTAAATCGTAATTCTAATTCTTCACACTAATTTATAACCCTCTTTTGACCCTAGTAAGCAGGTGACTTTTCTCAAGGTCACTCTGGCGTCGCTCGAAGGTCGTCCATGAATTACAGTCTCACCTTACTTCGTACTGCATTTAACGCTCTGGGTCAAAATTAGAATATATTTGTGTTTTTCTCGCTTCAAATACAATTGAATTTCTCTGGATTACAATCCACAATCTGGCTGTAGGGAGTAAAATAGTTCAGTGTTTTAATAATTTCATTAGTAAATTTCGCAAATATGCTTTTTTGAGTTTCTTTAGGTCACTTATTTACGTTTGCACTTCACTGTTTGTTATTTCTCACGATTTAGGAATTCTGTAACATTTTCGGAACTCTGTTGCCAGGAAGTAAAGCACGTTTATTTCCCCCGGAAGGTATGAGTGTTCTTGATGGATTAGAAATTAAAGTTGCATTTGGTGATATTTGGAAAGAATCACTTGGAGAATTAAGTGGTGGTCAAAGGTATCAATTTATTTTTAGTCACATTGATATTTTGGGAAATATTAACTAATATTTAATTTTCCAGATATTCGGATTTTTCCTCACTGTTTCTAAATTCCATCAGAATTCCGAAATGTTTTTATCGATCAACCTACTGTTACCATCATTTGTCTTTTTTGGAGTCCAATGTGTTGCTCTTTACATACGCCATTATCCCCCTGATTCTGTTGGGATTATGATTGGTCTCTGATTTCCTTCCTGTTCTCTTCATTTCAATCTTCTGCTGGTCGGTATTCCATTTCCAATTGCTGCTACATACTACTTACATCTGTCAACCTAAGTAGCATACACTATAGTTTTATGTTGTGCTTAAACACCAATATGTAATGGTCAAATATCATTTAGAAGATTGAATTGACCATTAAAGTCCTTTTATATTCACTGGCTATTATTAGAATTTGTGTATTAATTTCAAAATCATGATGCATACATGATTTCCAAAGTTCAGTCAAAAAACTTTGATATATATGCATAGTTGATCTATGTATGGAGAAATCTTCTTGAGGATTTTTGTTTTTACTTCATGATTATTATATATGACTACTGTTTGCATCTAGACTTCCGGGTAGCGTTATTGAATTCTCTTGCAAAACATTGTATTGTTATACCTTTGCTTCGTCCGCCTCACTAGTCTACTCCTAATATCCAAGGGGAGAGAGGGTTGTCTTGATCTAGTTTCCAACCTTGATGTGATAGGTTACCTAGTACAATTTTGAGGCCTGCAATCTGTGAGTCCGATTTGTGAGTAAACAGTCTTAAGGTCAGAGAGATGAAACTACACTATCATTGACGAGATAGATTTTCACGAGGAGAGAAGATGACTTAGCTTGAACTGTATATCTAATTTATTCCTGACCCAACCAAATTAACAAAAGACAGATGAATAAACAGATGGTCAGCAAAATCACAACTCACAAAAAGTGATAAAAATAAAATTATATCCAGACTATAGGACATTAGATTCGAAAAAAAGGAATGGATGGATCATGTTTAAATTACAGATAGGAAAGAATACGACAGTAATTTATACATTATAAACGAAAGCTGATTGTTTATAGGATAGGGCAGGCACAAAAATAAATGTATGTATTTCTTAAACTCTGAATTAAACAAGGCATTGTTTTAAACAAATAGTTTTTGTCGTTCTTCGTTGTTTCTTTTCACAAAGTATATGAACTCGTCTGTGAACATTCAGTTGTGTTTGTTTTGTTTACCTTATTTTTTAAATACGTATTCAGATTTTTTAGTCATCAAACAGGTATATGAACTCTCTTAGTTATCTATCGATAGGTATATTTGAATACTCCTCACACTGGTCGTAAACAAATTACTCGAAATTCAAAAGGGATCAGCTAACGTGGATAAAAACATATTATTAATGAATATATAAATTTCTACCTTTTTTAAGTTAACATTTAGTGTCTGTATATAAATGGTGTATTTTTTCACCTCTGGAAAATAGTGTTTCTGCAAGATGTACAGGTGTCACCTGTCCTTTTATTCACTTTTTGTGGACTTAATTCCTACATATGTACATATATAATCCTTTATTTCTATTCTTTGCTTTTCTGACAGTTTATTCTGTATGTCTTATTATTTTATCTTGTTCGTAGGTCGTTAGCTGCCCTTTCACTTATTCTGGCTTTATTACTCTTCAAACCTGCACCTTTGTATATATTAGATGAAGTGGATGCGGCGCTCGATTTATCTCATACACAAAATATTGGTCAGTTGACTAAAAATCATTTTAAGCATTCACAGGTGGGTATATTGAAAATTCTCTTTTTTTCGTTTGTAACAATGGTTTCTGTAAATTATTACATGATTACATTGTGGATTATTCCTAAGCTCCCTAACCCAATGACTAACTGACCTGTCAAACTCAAAACCCAAATGCAGTAGTTATCCGAAGAAGGGTGCAAAAATATATACTAAATATCAACATACCTATATTCCTGAGACGTCGATGTATTCAGCCATAAAGAGAGATGCTTTTTAAGGGGTTTATAATGATTATTTATAAACATACACTAATCTCAACATCAGTACATAGCTGTGTCCTAATTCTCAAGCTTTCAACATCTGAAGCAGACATTAAGATCTAAATAATTGGAAGCTGCTACGCCGAGACAAAAATTCGATAAATGCACCAGAAAAAATTGTTAATGACTACCAAAATTATTAAAAAGTTGCGGTCAGAATGATAAGTAAACAGAATGACACAGGTTCATGCAAGCGCTAAGCAGTAACATACGATGGCCAATCCGTTTTGCGTACTGTGTGTTCGAATTGATGTATCTTGAGATTGTTTACTGTTTAAATAAGTGGTATGATGTAATATACAGAAATATTCGAATAAGGAAGAAAGGAGTATCGATGTACAAATAGATTTGACAGATAGGCCATTCTTCCTAACAGTGAAAATTGCAAGTCGTTTCTTTTTTAACATTCACATAATGAATTAGAAAAGTATGAACATTTAGCTTATACGCATTGTTTTATGCAATATTTTCCCTTGGCTGACTGGTAATGTGTAAATTTATTGTGGTCTTTACGTAACTTACACATTTTGTTTGACAGTTGACGTGTCTCTGTTTCAAGTTGAGACGGTTTCAATAAAAGTTCATAATTATTTCTTCTTAACAGGGCTATCGCAGTACAGAATTAATCTGAAAAATGTTATATATTTCGAACAATCCGGTCACATATATGGTTGTCACAGCATTCATAAAAGCTAATAAAGGTTAATTGGATAAGATGTCGAACGAAAACAAAGCAGTAGTCGTAAATAAGCGCGGAAAAATTAACTTATCATGGGAAGGATAGAGAATTGTCACATCACCCTAGCTCGTAAGTTGCATAATGGATAACAATGCTGTCTCGTGGTTGTAATATATTTTCCAGTATTCATGAAGGGCATTTGGATGTCCGAATAGCTAGGGGTTCTATAAGTCTAAGATTTCGTCCTTGACAGTTCTTGTAGAACGTCCTAGAAGTTGTATTAAGGTCAATTCTATGGCCTGTCGTGTTTATATGTTTTGTTGTCAATGAATTTGGTTTTCTGCTTTCTATGTATTTCGGAGTATTTGATATTGAGTCACTCTGAAACCGTTTGGGCACGTACTTCGTAACCCTTGATCACTTTGTTTGTGTGTCTATATAAATATGTAAATAAGTGAATACTGTGGAATGTGACATAGTCGTTCGCACGATGTTTAATCTTATATGGAATCGGGGATTTAGCTTTTTCAGTCTAGCAGGATAGTATGTTTCCTCGATGGCTGCTCCCAGGTTATTTCAGAATTATGCTAATCTGCCCCAAATGATATAGATATATAAATCCTTTTCTTCTCAGCAGATAATTTGCACGAATCTATGTAATTGGAGAAAGGTTCTAATTTTGCAGCCTGTTAATTTTAAGTAGATCAGCCTTACCAAGCAGCGTTTGAAATGAAGGATGTGTAGGATCTCCCAATACAAAATATAGTGATTGTTATGTTTATGTGTTCATCACGGTATTGTTAGTATTATTTTAAGCGTATCGTAATAGAAATGATTTGTGTAGTTATGTAAATACGTTGCATTTTTTATAACTTGTATTTAGAAACTTCACAGTACTTAGTTTAGTTACTCCGTTATTTTTATGCGCCCTTCAAATCTAGTTCATTGTAGTGTCACTCAAGGATGGAATGTTCAACAATGCTAATGTACTATTCAAAACAAAATTTGTAGACGGTGTTTCAACTGTGTCTCGGCATGTACCTCTACGCGTTCGCGACGAAAATAAACAGCCTCAAACAGAGAGACAACGGAAACGTGTTAAATAAATTGTGTTTGTATTTGTCTATCTTTTTTAAATGATACGTTATTTATCTATGCTCCCTTAATAACAATTTAATGTACAATTTGTCGTATTCAAATATCACTTTATTCAACATATATTAACTTAGGTGTGTATATGTAGTTATACGTTCTTCATTTTGAGTCTTTATTATTGTGAATTCTGGTAATACTGAACGGTTAAATTTGATAGGGTTGTTTCTAATCCAGTTGGGAGTTGAATCTATCCACTAACGAGACTTTCATGTTGTGTACAGTTTAGGTCGTATCTTGGTTTGATAGTTTTCTGGAATAGACAGGTCTCCGCACAAGTCCTACAGACTCCGGGTGCCCCGTGTAATTGTGGTTAGTGAAATACTCATTTCAAATTGTCCGTACCATTCAGATAATGACTTCTTAGACAGGTTCGAGTCATTGGACGGTTGTGTAGTGAATATGTGAGTTGACTAGATACCATGCTTGATATTCCCAATATCAACTAAATCGGACCGCCATGATGATGTCACTAAGACGTCCGACATCTGTCTTCATGGTTGGAAGTCACTTCAGACTACTCTGACTCGTCCTATCGCGACGATCAGCAATACGAATAACAATTTGAACTGCGATACTACAAGGACGACGTTATAGTGGATAAATCATGTCATTCCAATCAATTCCTCCTGCGTCTAAATTTCAGTGGCAGTTTAATATCTTGTAGATGTTAAACTAACTCCCTGCGCCCAGTAAAATCAGGATGTGACAGCAACTAACATATAGTCCTGAAACAGTGTGCGGAGGCCTTCAGTATACTAGTGTGTGACTTGTTCAGGCACCCACTAAATTTACACCAACTGCCAAGAGGATGTAAGCAGTCTACTCTTCAATCTTCATTAAGGCGATAGAAAAGACTCAACTTGTTACAGACCTGTCGCATCATTCCCAATACCGTCGAAGGTAATATGACTTTTAAATGAATAAATGAGAGAATAGATAAAAACAGTATTCTATAGGAAGTCCAATGCGGACTCAGAAAAGGCAGATCCTGTGAGTCAAATCTCCTCATATCATGACAAAGCTGAAAGACCTGTTGTGACCAAAAGATATCGGTATATCTAATGTTCCCCGAATTAGCTAAGGCTTTTTATACAGTGCCTAAAGTACTCATAGCGAAGGTTGCAAAGATGTCACTAAGCCCTAGCCAAATCATCCGGCAGTTTGGTTAATGAATGTCGAGCAAATCATCGATCCTCCTCAATGTCAGGGACAACCAACGCGCATCAGTTAATCGTATGCCATGGACTGGCACATGCGGCAGTGGTCTTACTTTTGCTTGTATCTACTTGAACTAGTTTATTTCTGTAATAACGTCCTCTATATTGTACAGCCTTTAAAGCATCTATGGTGCCTTGATACTTCAATGAGGTAGTCCATGTAAGGTGCTGACCACGAGGTGTGACTTCGACGTTAGCTAGTTTGTCACAACATTCACGCCTAACCCGAGTAGGCCTCCAATAATTCTGACATAGCTCATCTACGTTTGTGATCTACAGCCCTATTCTATCTTGGTTCCTAAAGAACAGGACGTCTCGAATTAAGGTAAATAGAGTGCACACTGGTTGGAGGGCCTCGATATCGTGTCTCACTTGCAAAATCTTTAGGTCCACCCCTGTTCTTGTTCTCCAGTGACGATAGAATTAGCTGGACAACACTGATCTACACAAATGACTCAATGATCTAGAGGTCCATAAAACTCAAAACGGATCCACCTGAGCTTCAAAAGGACCTTACATCGATAGAGGAGTGGACAGTAGACAATGAATTAAAACGTGGCCTGTCGAAATGCCATGTCATGAATACTCCATCACATTTGACATAAACCACTTACGCTCGCCATGTAAATCCACTCCTTTTTGTCTCCTTAAAGCTTGATTTTGGGCTTGTAAACACAAAGCGTTTGTATACCCTAGTGTTGTTCCTAACACTACTTAAAATTTGCACATGGTCTCCCGTTGAAGTTCACGATGTCATTGTGCCCCTTCCATTCTAAAGAAGCATAAAGCTCTTAGACTAATTACGAATGTGAGTAACCAGTAACGTGATCAGGCTAATATATAGACAGACTCTAACAACCGGGATATTTCCTAGCGAGCTATATTAGGATAAGAAGTGATCTGATAATGACATACATAATATTAAGTACGTCTAGCCACCTCAACACGAGATAATTGACAGAACATCCTCACCACTTTGAGATAACCCTCGGATGATGGCATATAAAGGGTGAACACACATGCACAACATCGATTCTCCTCTCCAAGGCTTGGCTGCATTTGGAACGCTCTCTCAGACGTTGTGATCACAGCCCCTCACAATGCATAGCTTTAAAAGGGAAACTTGACGGATACGTACTCAGCCATGTAATACCATAACACTCTTGAACCAGTTGCATCTGATGCCTGTATCATAAGTTACCATGGTTATCATTACAGCATGCCATAAACTATCTCCTATATCTTATTATCATCTCTGTTCCCCCTGTCATTTTTTCAATTCTACCTTCCCACACATTTCCATCTTAGTAAATTACTTATATATTCTTGAAATATTCACCTCTGAGGACCTCATTTACTAATTCATTTTTTTACACTGCGATCAACCGCCCTCTTAGCTGATAATTTGATAGCTACTGGTATCCAGAAATCCTACTGCCCTAAGACGAACGCACTCAATTAGCTACAAGATGTATAAATGCTCAAATGACTACTAAACTGACTAGAACCAGTGCAGTCGAGTGTCCAGACTACTACTCATTGGACATAACCAGATATCTGGAAACGTACCGAAACCCTAAGAAGTGAGTGCAACAAAATCAATAGGTTTACACATGGCCGCAGCAAACATATTGGATATTGGAAGTGTATATTATCTACTTTCTGGGTCGTTGGTTGATATTTCCTTTTGTTCTTTTCTGTTCCAGAATCTTTCCCTGTCTTAGCGCACAAGGTACTTTCAGGCTAGACGAAAACATGCCCAAAAGGTGGACGTTACACTTATTTAATCTGGATTTGTGTACGCACCGCGTCTTTTGTTTTATCCATCGAATCTTTTTTTAAGGCTTTTACATTTATTGACCCATCATTTTAATTTTGATAAGTTTGAAATCCAACCATTCGGACTATAAGATTTAGAAATCCGCAAATCACAGCCAATTTGACTATATTTGGTGTAATGGAGTGGGACGACCTTTGTCTATTAGACATTATGAAGTATATGGAACCGTAATGAAACAACGAGAAGCGAGTGCAATTAATTAATTTGTTTATACAAGGTGACATTGAATATATCGGAGTAAAAGGTGCGCAATATTTAGTTAGTGCGTTACAGTTGGTTTGAACCGAGCCAGTCAATTTTTTTCTGTATGCTTTGCATCATATGAGAATTTCTAAATATTTGTTTTATTGGTTTCTCACAAATATCGCGGTCAGACGTGGCAAACGATAACTTTGGTAAGCATTAGTACCTTGTCTCTGCGCTTGACCCTGATGTAAAAACAATCATATTTGTTGAAAAAGTCAGAGATCAAATATAAAGTGGCGCTTACTCTTATTTTACGTATCACTCGATGATGTGGTGATTATTCTTTTTTGGTCATAACTTAAAAAGGGCAATCATATTGATTTTGTTGAATCTTAAGATTTATTCTTGGATATTGGTATGTCCTGCATAATACCGATATCTCAACCACTCAAGTTGCCGTTTTTGAAAGACATTTTTATTCCCGGATAGGTTTCAAATCGACCATATTTCTCCTTTGAGTTGTTTGTTAACACCTCTTCTTTAGGATTGACAAAATAACGCCTATATTTGACTAATATATGCTTTTACCCGTAATTGATTTCGTGAGACATGTAAGGAGACACGAAAAACTCGTCTTTTGTGCAATATAAGTATTTTTATTCAGGGTGTTCGTCGAACCCGAAATTATTGTTCATTGCTGCCGTCAACACAGGCTGTATCTGTCTTTTAATTGGTGACCTTGATAAGTTTGAAAAGACTATAGCTGACAAACAATTTCTGAGCAATACCAGCGTTTTTGAGAAACTTTACTCACTTGGTAGCATTTAACTAGGGTATGGTGTATGCAAAAAAATTTGGTTAAATTATCTGTCGGTTAGGGCATATTCAGCAATCAGTGTCATCTTTTTTAACTAGCACAAAACATTTCACGTTGTTTCGTCACCTCTTAATAGTGATAGGTGTCGTTTATTTACCAAATGTTGGATTATGCATTGGAATTTAAGGTCAGTGACAATCCGGCTGGCCAAACCGGAGTAGGTATGAGATGTTTCGAACCTCTGACTTACTGGTTAGAAGCTGTGTTTTTATGTTCGGGCCATCGTTTTCGAAGCTACGAATATCCCGATTCATACTTGGCCATACAAAACGTTCGCTGATTAGTTTGATGGTGGCCTTTATTCCGGGATGCGAAATATTGTGCATGGCTTCGAAAATGTTTCGCCTTAGCGGCTTTGGAATAAATGGTCTTGGTTGACCTGTAGAAATATCGCAGGTGATGCTTACTTCTTCCAATGGAGTTTCTTTGAGAACTAACGAGGTTGTATTGGCAGACTTTAGTCTGTTTAACTCGACGTCGATATTTTGTAATGCTGCTAACTTGTGATAATCGATTTCAGACTGGATGAGAGCGTTGACCATCGTTCTGGATAACGCGTCTGCCACTTCGTTACTATTGCCTTTGATATATTGTATGTTAGACGTGAATTGGGATATAAATTCTAATTGTCGGATTTCCCTCGGCGAGTAGTTGTCCTGTTTGGCGTTCAGTGCTTTTGTGAGGGGTTTATGGTCTGTATATACTGTGAAAATGGTACCCTCAATCATATGTCGGAAATGTTTTATTGCCAAGTAAATCGCTAGGAGTTCTCTTCCGAAAGTACTATATCTTGTTTGTGTCGGATTCAGTCTTTTCGAAAAAAATGAGAGC